TATATGTGAAAAGAGAGCTCAGAGGCAAATGAAGGGCTTTGTAAGATTATTCATTCAAGTCTACCAAGCACCCACTCTGGACGCAATTATCATCTGGGCACAGACACAAACACAGAGGCACCTCCAGGCTCTACAACCCTACCCTTCCATCCTGCACCCCACTGTCCAAGGGAAGTCCCCGGTGCATATGTGAGGACATGCCCTAAGGTGCGCTGGGGTGTCCTGGGGGCCAGGAAGGGGGCAAGGCCACACAGGCAGGCACATGGCTCATACATGGGGGCACACTCTGCTTGGAGTGGTCAGCGATCTTGCCAGGGATGGAAAAGTTCAATGACTACAAGGGTGACTTTAATTATATGTTGTCGCTGACTAGCAGTGGTTACGATGGTACAATTACACATGTATTTATCAGCAAGATACTTGCATACATAATAAACCAAAAGCAAAACGTTAAATTTCAGTGGACGCTTAAAATACAAAACTGGGCCATGATGCAAAGCAGCCTCACTCACAAGGGGGTGGGACAGAAAAGCCACGAAGCTCCCCTCCCTTTCAAGAGCTGGCTGTTCCCACCCACCATGACCGCGTGGCATCCATCCCAGGAATGCACTCCCCGAACACCAAGTAAATCCCAAACCCCAGTGGTGTGTCAACAATGCTCCTTCACAAAGGGGAAGCTGACTTCGGAAACTCACCACCTTTCTGACGCTCTCTGAACTTGCTAACCACCACGGTCCCCGGGGGGTGCCGGGGAGACCGCATGCCTGGCAGCACCGGGGGGGTTCCTAGCTCTGGTATGAGTCTGAGGGGAAAAGGCTAATTATCTGAAAGTGGCCTATACTTTCCTTAATCTTGAATAAATAGAGAGGGGAAAAGATGACGAAGCAGAGAGAATGAAAACAATAGCAGGAGCCACACGTGTGTTGAATGCCTACTTGGAGCCGGGCATTGTTTTAAGCACATTACATGGACTAGTTGTATAATCTACTAGGTTGTCATTATTGTCATTCCCAATTTACAGATGAGAAAACTGAGGCTAAGTCCCCCGAGACACAGTCACACAGTCACACAGCCGGTGAGGGGGGGAGCCAGGGTTCTACCCCAGGAAACCTGGCTCCAGAGTCCACATCTTTGTGATAGGTTGCCAGGTCTCGGGGTCATTTCTCTCTCTCCTTGTTATTACTTCCATCCTGGTATGGCTATGATGTTCATTGTGCAATAATTTGTAAGCCAAGCATGGGGTGACTTTTCACCCTCGTCCACGGGAATAAGTTTTCCAATAGACAGCGTGTGCTGTATCTGGACTTGGGAGCCCCAGCGCTCAGAGATCTGGACTTGGGAGGCCCGGCGCTCAGAGCCTCAGCCTGTCTCCTCAGGATGGCTGACCCCACACGGCCGGGCACTGGCCAGTCCCACCCAGATCGAGCATGGCAAACCTGAAGAGTACACACAAGAACCTCTAGAAGAACATGAAATACAATATAAATTAGAGTCTTGCCCAGGAGACACACAACTAGTCATCTGGACAGGAAGTCTTCTGAGCCTCATAAACTCCTTGCGCCACATTGAAAGAGGTCACCTTTTCCTACTCTGCCTCTGTGTATTCAGTCTCAGTCTTACTGTGGATGTGCCTTCATGGAATATCTACAGATGTTCACACAACATGGCACTCATGTACAGAGATGGCCCAGCATGGTCCTAGACATATTTTTCTATTTTAAAAACTGGATTGAAAAGAAGACATAATGACAGTATTTTTGTATAACTGACCACTTTAGTGTAAAAAAAAAAATGTTTAAGAGGGCAAGGAGTAAAGAGATGGTAAAAAGTGGGATTTCATTTGGACTGCTAGGCCTACTATTCTAAGATCTTATTCAGGTTTGAGATAAAACTCCATCTATCTGCCTATCCATTTATCCATCAACCCACCCATCTATCCATCCATCCACCCACCCATCCATCTTTTCATCCATCCATCCATCCACCTATTCAGCCACCCATCCATCCATCCATCCATCCA